TATATTTATATCAATATTATTATATTTTTATATTTTAATATATAAATCAGAATATCAGAAGAATATTATAAATTGTTTGATTTTTGTTTCTAATGTATTTGTTATCTTTTAAATATAATTTATATATATATATCTGTTAATTTTCACAAATCTATTACCTTGTAATTAAAATAGAAAACAATTTAAATCCTTATCGGTGCAATGTGCAGTTACTGAGTTATACAGCGTAATATACAGTGTTAATCTGTAAAATATACAAATTTATCTATTTAATCTAATTTAAAACAAGTATCCAAATTACATCTCAAAATGTAATTACAGCATGCATTAAAATTTTCCTTTTATTAAATTGTTTCAAATAATAATAATATACACATAAAAAATAATAAATTATTCACTTTATGGTTATTCCGCCGTCGCTTGATGCCGCTCCGGGCCTTCTCCTTCTCCTCTCTTATTTCACCATTATCGCTCTTTTGTGATACTCTCTGGAAAAAAAAACAAATTAATTACAATTACGCGCACATTAATCACACCCGAATATAATTAATGAGCGGTACTTTTGCACAACATTTTAATGGCTGGTGATGCTACCCATTGTATTAATACACAATCAAAAATGATTAAAATATGATTTTAATACATGAAAATTATTGTAAGTATATGAGAGTATATCATGAGAGACAATGATTTCCATAAATTGTTATCGCTATTCTTATCTACTCAAGTAAATGTAGCGCGCAAAATGTTTTCTTCGACAAAAAGCCGTTGTCGCGATATGTTTAATCGCTTAATCAAATTAAATAATTGCGCAAGTTGATACTCACTAACCAACACATACTTGACCATGTTCGACGAGGTTTTTCGCGATCGCGTCTCGAAAATTAATGCGACGCCGCGCCGTTGATTTAATAAAATACTCTGCGATTAATTCCTAAGCAAGCTTACGATAAGGATAATATTAGACATAATAATTCGATTATAAATACATGTAGAAGAATAGATTCGTCTTTAAACAAATACTCGGAAGACGGATAGAATAACTGCGTCTGTACCAAGCGCCGTTTCCGTGGGAAAAGAGGAAGAAGCCGGACGTAACGCCGTGAAATCAGCGCCAATATTTTTCGCAATCGCGTCTCGAAAATTAATGTAACGTCGCGCCGCGTCGTTGACTTAATAAAATACTCTGCGATTCATTCCTAAACAAGTTTTCGATAAAGATAATACTAGACATAATGTAAATTCGATTATAAATACATGTAGAAGAATAGATTCGTCTTTAAACAAATACTCGGAAGACGAATAGAATAAAAGTATATCCATAATGGCCAATTATCTTAACCGAAAAGACGCTTGACTTTTTATTCTTATAATTCCCGTCTAATATGCCATAAACCTATTAAATATTCTCACAGTCTATTCAAGAAAACAATTCTATTGCGTATAATCGTATCTATTTGGTTCGATTATTTCTTTGTCGGCTTACCTGTGCGGATATTATCGAAGCTTGCAATTTCTGCGTCTGTACCAAGCGCCGTTTCCGTGGGAAAAGAGGAAGAAGCCGGACGTAACGTCTTGAAATCAGCGCCGGTATTCCTTGTCCTGATTGGTCAAGCTTTAAAATAGTAATTCGCGGATATACTGAGCTGTCTCATTAGTGGATATATCGACACATTCTCGCGGAATCGAAATTTTTAAAATCAGCCAATCAAGTCGAAGAAGTCGCACGAAATCTACCGAAAATAGCCGAGCAGTTCTCGAAAATTTGGCGCGGGAATTAAAATAGTTTAAAGTCTTTATGCAAATGAATGTGATACGAGATATCCACAATTAATATTTTTTTCTTCAAAGTAATGCGAAAATGAAGGTTTATTACGATCATACTCATTCGAATTTTTAACAAAACTTTCAACTATCTCCAGTTGTCTTTAGTATGTATCATGATATGAAGAATGGTAACATCTCCCTTGTTACGGTTGTTGCAAATATTTCTAACAAGAAACAGCTCAAAAGTCATGATTCGCGAGGACCGTGCTCACCAAATCGTATACGAGAATCTGGGTGTTTTGTCTGCAACAGCAAAGTTGAAGGATGCTTGATAAATAGACCTACCTAATTTCTAACCTGTTTATTTCGATATTCATACATGTATGTAAAATGTAAATGAAAGCGAATCTTTTTATCCATGCTTCACTTTTATTTTAATAATCAGATCTAACAAAAGAATGCATTCTTATCGCATTTTTTTATCTTATCTTTTATTTCTTAATCAATCATATTTGAATACTGTTGACATTGTTTTGTATTATTTATAGTTGGAGAGCGTGGAATATCTCATTATGATAATAACATATAATAACATAAATTATTATTTGATTTAATTTTATCACATGAATACTTCTCGACTAGAGTTCCATATTCAACACTTTCTTCCAGAAAAAAAATAGAGAGGAAATAGATACAGTAAAAGATTGGATGCTTACAATTACGGTAATATCTTATTATTGATAACGATTGAGTTATTCACTGCATGATATATACAACAAACAGTTTGACAAGCTATTTTGACTTTTATAGATTTATAGCTAAAGATTTAAAGAAAAATATAAAATTATTGATATTTGATAAATTATTAATTATAATGATAATTGTAGTATTTGATAAATTATTATAATATTTGAAAATAGATTTATATACGATACTTTATGTTGTCATTTAGGGATGTTTACGCGATTCAAGAAGAATTTTAGCAAATATCAAATATAAATACTATTGATACATCTGTGAAAACTATATAATAATATAGAGTAAGTGTAATAGTACAACAGATTTTATTTTAAAGAAATTCTATATGTTCTATATTTATATAAATAACACTTATAAACAGAAATATATTTTAAAACTATATTGTTTATTGATGAGGATATGATTCATAATATATGCAATCAAAGATTTTACAAATTTTAAATTTGTTCATTACATCTTAAAAGATGAAGATTATTAAAAGAAAATTTTAATAAATTTGGCATTAAAGTAAAACTAGTGCTAAATAAAAAATTAATTATGTGAGTTATTATACAATATTAATTACTGTGTGCATTATGAAAACTGTAAAAATAGTCGTTCATTGAAAGTTCATAGAATACAAAAGCTTTCAAGAAGAAAAAAATATTTTTGAAGTAATATAAAAATATATGTTAAATAAAAAGAGAGAGAATATAAATATGTATCTCAAATATTATAAATTTGAAATACTTTTCATTTGTTCATAAAATTGAGAATTTATTGCAAGAGATTTCTCTGTAGAAATACAAAATACTTTATACAGTTATTTTATTTTATTAGAAAAATAACAAATGATAAATTAAATAATTTTTATTAATATTAATTATATATTTATTGATTTTAAAAATAATTATTTTTTATTTTATACTAACTTTGTGAATATTATGATATAATTATATCGATTTTTATTTTAATATAGAAACATCTTTTTTTCGATTAAATCAGACATGATACTATGGATAATAATATCGATTAGGCAGAAAATAGACGAGAGATCGAAATATCCCTGGATATATTTTAATTTTGTTATATGATCTCGCATTAAACACAGGAATTGGTAAATATCTAAATATGGATTTATTCCAAATTTTGTTGTTACCTCTTGAAGATACAATGATGTTACTGAATGAAGAGTTTGATTTAAATTTACCATGAATATTGTTCCCTGCATCTTTTGAAGTTAGTTTTATTTTGATCGGTTTTTCAAAGATATGATAAGAAGGAATGAGAAAAACAGTAATATTGTTATCACTAGCTTTTTCTTCCTTTTCTTCTACATATATGATTTTTTCAGTATAGCTTTTTCTAGCAATATAATTATTCTTATAATCAGAAGAATTAGGAATTATTGAATTTCTTTCTTCTTTAAAAAAGAAATTGTTTTGAAGATTATCAGTTTGATTTGTTGAGCTTGGAAAACTATGATTCGTAAACAAAGGTATGGTAGCATGAACAGACTTTTGATTATCTTCTTCATCATAATAAGATGCTGTCGTTGTCTTCGAAAGCGAAAATGTTTGCAGCAAGTCGTTATTGCCTGATAATGCATAGCTCGTGTCCAAGTTCGATCTACGAGGCGCGCATGCTGCTGACCCTTCAAATTTATAATTTATGGCTCTTACTATATATATATATATTCTTTTTCGTTTATTATTCTTATTAAGTAATTATGATTATTTCTAGGATTGACATAGAAAATGGATTTATCAAATTTAAATTATCTATATATAATTGGCAACTTATCATAAATTCTCTTATTCCATAATACTTTCCTATTTTTCAGAATCTCTTTCCTATTTTTCATATACTTACAAGGTTGACAAATATACGTTTGACTTTGATTGCAGTTCAGCCCATATATGATAGGAGTGTAATCTGCATGATCAAAGTTTAAGCAATTTGCATCATTATTGTGACATTGACCAGCTAAGCACCATGGAACAAAGCTTACACCCATTTCGGAAACTAGCTCGCCAGTACTTTCCCAAGTCCATCTCCAGAGCGGTGTATCGTTGAACATCGACAATTTACGTCGGCCATCAGTCCAGATATGCCGCAGTTCTGCAATTATCAAATATATGAAATAAGTAATTAAACATAATCTGAAATTCGTAATTTATAATTAAATATACTTTTATTTTATAACTTTTCTATTTTCTAATGTTACAGATAATTTTTATGATATATTATTCTGTGAAAATCAAGATACCACTTCTTTCATTTAATGCATGCATAACATTCTATCTATTCTTTCATATAAAATTGTTCTTGATACTCGTTATCTTGCCTTTTCTGTTGTCTTCCATCAAAGACATCATATGATTAATAATTCTTGAAGAATTTAGTATAATGAGTGATGCATTCAATTCTTTACATGAGAGTTGGGCTTGAAACCATGTGAGTGCATGGAGTCCTATCCAGTAAAGACATTCCTCTACATAAACTGGGATGGGCTTTTTACTCATCCGCTTTCTTGAGGCTAAAATTAAAAGAAATTATGATAGCAAGTGTGATTTTAAGTAAATGCAATAATTATAATGTATAAATTTTCCTTCTCAGAATATTTCATAATAATTTAATTTTTAACATAATACAACTTTTTGAATGGTTATTCTTTAAATATCAAAAATATTCTAAAAATTCAATCATTGAGTTTTATATTTTATGTATTTAAGAATTTATAAAAGACAAATGTTAAACAAAATAATATATAATTGAGTCAATAAATTTATTCTTATCGTGTATGTTACATTAATTCTACAGTTATTTTTATAGTTATAATTTTCTTACGTCTTTGACAAAGAACATCACGTTTACGATCACACTTTGCTTCCAAATAAACCGGTATTTCACACATGTGTCTATCCAGCAAAAGACAACCATGTAATTCTCTATTGTGGCCTCTCCATAAATCATTGTTCGAAATATTGCTGCCAGACGATAACCACTTCCACATATTTACAGTCGCATATCCGCCGATCCATGCGTTCTCGATCGATTCTGAAATCATATGATGACTATTAGTCAGAAATAAGCATAAATTTTATTACATAAGAAATTGTTATATTATTATATAAAGAATAATTGTTTAAAACTTTTTATAAAAATGTCAAGAATATCCTATTTAATCTGGTTTTATGAAATACCAGGTCGGGCTCGTATCATGAGGAATGCCAAGGATTGAGCTTGTGACATTGTTTTGACTTCAGCGATCTGCAAACCCTCCTTCCGACAGTGAACAACAGCTTCTGGCCAAGTGAGTTTTGTTGAGTATAACATGAATTCTTCTTCATCCATGAGAGTGGAACCCATCATCTTGGTACTTTTACCATTGGATTGATCTCTATCTGTACATTAAAAAAGAAACAATTAATTCATTTAGCAATGTATTTAACACATTAGCAATAGATTTAAATCGCTATTGTTTATTATGATATGTATAAATTCTACATTTATATTATCACTTTGGATAAATATAATCTATATCATAATAATAATGAAATAATAAAAATTATTTTTCAATATGATAACGCATGCAAGTAATATCAGATATGGCAAACTATTCTAGATGAAAAATTATCTACCTCTTTGGCAGATAAAAGATCTTCGTTGATTGCATCGCAATGGAACAAAAATTGATTCCTTGTGATGTAATCTGTCTATGCTCAGGCACTGTTGTAAATCCTCATTAGAAGAATTCGGATACCATAAACTAATATTTCGATATGATGCGCTCTTTAGAATCACCTTATTCCCGTTTGAGATCCAGAACCAGGCACCGAGAGAATCTTCCCGTCCTCCAATCCATAGATTATCATAAATCGCTGATTAAGTATTATTGATCTTAAGTTGATTAAGATCTTAATCTCCAAAAGCATAATTTCCCAAAAATAAATCTTTTTCAATAATAAGCTAAATTTTCAGGTTTCTCGGTACTCACGCAAATCATTATCGACGATCGCGTGGATTGCAATTCGAGCCTTTCGATCAGTATCCACTGTCGCAAGCTCGGCTTTATAATTTAAACAAATTACTCGAGCCTCGTCCCAGGTTACACGATATCCGCAAAATATATATTCTATATTGTCATCCACAAAAATATGCGTGGCGAGGTCATTCGACGATAAATCTGCAGTTTATATCGTAAACTATTCAAAATATTTGAATATCGCAAATCGGTTATTAATTTATTAAAAGAAAAAAACCTGCATCAAACAATATTTTGATATAATTATTTGGATACGATCAGAATATTGATACATTAGTTCATTAGTATCTAAATTATTTAATATATAAAATATTGATTAAGATAACATATATATAAATTGTTTTTTTGCGCAAATTAATTTACTGTAAATGAAGAATATTACAAATAATTAAAAAATATGATATAGATTTTTATCATACTCAAAAATTGCGCGATGATCTGTCTCGGCACTATGAAATAAAACGGGAAAAAAAGGATCGTTAACATTTCGCTGCAACTACTAGCGCAAATAGCCTTCGACTGACTGTTATCGCTGGCCGATTCTAATAGTGATCGCCAATGTTTTTAAACAAAGTGTACCATATTGCATACCATGTCTGATATAACATTGAGATGATTACCACTTATTGTTAAATCTAAAAAAAATATTAGAAAAAAAAGCGCGAAAAGGAACTTTAAAAATAAATAAAAGTAAAGAATAGTGACAAAAAAGGTAAGTTTCTTGGTCTGCTATATTTTTTATTACTATTAGAGAAACTGATATTAAAAACTAGCTGATGCTTTTGCAAATATGATAAAAGCAATTATAAATGCGCAAACATGAGCGTAATAAATAAGAAAATATATTGTATATAAACAATGTTGATAGATCTAACTACTGCTTCACTAAAACATATAAAGTTTAAATATATCTTTTAAACTAATAGCTTTTATAAGCACACGATATAAATATTTTTCCATGTTCACGGAGGGGAAAAAAAAGATATTCCCAGATTTAAAATTTCAGAAATTCTTTATAAATCTCTATTATTATGATTATATATTTTTTTAATATTTTGTTAATTTTTGAATTTAAATTTTTGCAGTTGCAAAATATCGATAGTTGGTAAATTTCTTGTTATCGATATATTTATATTTAAGTAGACACAATATTTCGTGCAATTGGCTATTGAGGGCGCATGCGAAAATCCTATCCGTAATCCGTAACATATGACAACATGCATGTGAATGTACAGTTTAAAGGAGTATATAAGAGGTTGTCTATATAATACGTAATAACATAAATGGTGATAAATGGCTAATTTTGCGAAAACGCAACTACTAAAGTACGGTTGGAAAGAAGGTACGATATCGCATGAATGTTCGGCTCGAATAAAACGGCGTAACCTTGTTTGTTACAAGGCAGATAAGCGACGTCTAACTAAATCTTTATTTCATTACTCGACATGAATGTTGCTCTTATTTTATCTCTCTTCATTATTTATATTGCGATATTTGTAACGGACAAAGCAAATAGATAAAATTTTTTTTTAATAATATAGGAAAGGGACTCGGTAAAAATGAGAACGGTCTTAAGGAAGCCATAAAACCGACGTTAAAATTCGATAATGCGGGCATAGGATACAACGAAAACAACTCGGAGCACTGGTGGGAAACCTTGTACGATAATGCTGCCAAAAATATCAAGGTCGACTTGCATGACAACGAAGTTTCTTTGTCTACAATTAACAACTCGAATATAATTGATGCTTGGACTACTGTTTCTTCTAAGAAGAGTAAAAAGACTGAGCAACAAAAATATGGAAACTTTTTGAAAACCTCTACTCTTCACAATGGTTGTTTAATACAAGATACTTCTATGGAGAAGGAAGAAGAGACTGCAAAAGATTCTATATATATTCCATTGACTGATGAACAGTTATATAAAGCATGTGGTGATAGAACAGCAAAACCAGCAGGACATGGTGTCATGTTAAGTGGAAAACTTGCGAGAATTGCACAACAAGATAGAATATTTCTAGATGTTAATATTGGTGGTGTATGTCAACTAGATGCAAGTTTAGTTAAAAAGAATACTATGACTCATAGAGGGGCAAATGTAGAATTAGATACAGAGGAAAGTGAGGATCCAGAAGACACTCCGGAAATGGTTGATGATCAAAACACGGAAACATCGGAATATGAAACTAAAGATTATATCAGATCCAAAAGTGCAAGAAAAAGTCACAAAAAAAGAATAAATAAATTTATACAGCAATTTAGTATTTGTAGTCTGAAAGGAAAAACAGATTCAGAGTATAATTCTCTACATGATGAAGAATTAGCAAGATTTAAAAAAGAAAAAGAGTGTAAGTCACAATTAGATATAAAATCGGGAAAGTGTAGCAAGAAAAGAAAGAAAAATAGGCGAAAGAGAAGTTTTGAACAAGAGGTTCAACGTAATGCATATAATATTCTATATAAAACAGCATCTGACATACAAGATAAACTGAAGGATACAACAGAGGATGTATATTTATCAAAGTCAAAGAAATCTAGTTTACAACAAAAAATGTATATTTATCAAAGTCAAAGAAGTCCAGTTATCTCAAGTTTAAATAACATAAATGATAAAATTGAGAAGGATATTAGTAAAATAATGCTTCCAACAGATAAGGAGATAAGAAATATGAATATTGAACAACAAATACAAGAGCAGAAAACTACAAGTTGGAAGTATTTTGATGTTGGCGAAAGAGATTTCAAGCCACCAATGAAAAAATTCTATTCACTATATTATGATAAATTAGATACATCCCCCAAAATATCATTTTATAAATCTCTTTCTATAAGTTCAACTAAAGACCAATCGCATATAAACAATTCAGATGATAAATTACACAATAAAGATAAAAAAATTAAAAAAAAACACCAGCAGAAACGAGTTAAAAAACAACTAGAGAAAGTTATCAATCCAGTAAATTTTTGTACAGATGATTTAAACACTGTAATAAAAAAGCTAACAACATTTGATCTTACAGAAGAGGTAAGTGCAAATGCATTCAAAAAAAAGCTCACCCAAACTCATCTTACACCTGTTTAAAAAAAATTCAAAATAGAATATTAAATAAATTATTGAGATTATTGACAATTACTGATTGAATTGCATTATCACATGTGAATCTGGATAATCTCTGGTACGTTTCCGCTTTTATACATTAAAATATAAATCTTAATAATGAAATATATGAAAGTCTAATATTTAAGAAGGAAAAATTGTAGTTATTCATACATGACAACACACACACACACAGAACTGATGAAAAATGCAAATAATAATATTTAATCATTGCATCATTTGTTATTATTCATATAATTTCTATTTTAACGAGAAATCCAATCTGTTTTTATTACTTTTTGTTATACATTTTGTGTGCTCAATTCTTTTGATCTTTTTATATATAAAGATGCTAAACATTATTATATATCTGTTTTTTCCCTCCATTATGTGAATTTATGGAAATTATATTAATCAAATAAATGTTTCTGAAATGTTTACTTTTTATTATATATATTATTTCTATTCCTTATATTATTACATCAAAAGCAACGTTTATATGAAAAAGACATTTGCTAAAATAAATACAATTAATAAATAAAATTATTATTATTATTATACTATACATTCTTGAACATGTACATAAAAGATAATTTAGGAAAAAATAACATTAATAAAAAAAACCATGTTACCTTTCATCAATAATAGACAATATTTCATAGATGCTTTATATTTCATGAGTGAGCATTATGATCTCGATATAAATAACACTTTGCATTATCAATTATATATTTGTAAATTGTTAGACTTTGTAAAATTATGATTTGCTTATTTCAAGAAAATTGATATTATTAAACGAAAAAAGATTTGAAGTCTTTTTGAAATGAGCAAAGTCTACAATAGTTTTATATACATATAAATCAAGATATAAATTATATAGAGATAATTTCTTACGATTATTATGCATTAATTATCATACTTTTCGCAAACATAACTGCGCGCGACATCTAATTATAAATAAAATTAATATGAAACCCATCAATTTTACTCATGTTTTTAAAATTTCCGTCTAAGCAAAGTTCCTATCATAAAAAATCAATGCAGCATGTTGTATCTTCTTATATGTAAAACACTTATATCTTTGTATTTTTAATAAATAATCGCATCTCAGTTTTTTTCTCTTTATTTGAAATGCAATACAGAACAATATTTATATTTGTTTTATGCACAATTCCTGTTGTACGTTTACACAAATGTACGAATCAATGTCCTTATTTAAAAGCTTTAGAAAATGCATTTGTAATAATATATAAACAGCATACGAATACTACAGCGTGATATAAAATAATGTACCATCTGAATTATATTTTACACAAGTAAAAATGTATATAATTTAACAAGAAGAAATGCTATCTGTCTTATCAGCTGATTTGTTTTATATATTCGATGTGTAAGGATTGACTGAAGTTGCAACATGATGGCTTATCATATTACACTTCCGTTCTTACAAATGTATATCATTACAGCAACACTTTTCAAATATATCATATAGCACCCAATATTACAATGGTCTAGCAAAGATTCTTTAATAATAAATAAAAAATTCAATGCCAGATCGATTTATTCTTAAAATAAACTTTCTAAGGCCACACTAGAAGGTATTCCATATATAATCATTTTAATAATCTTCATCCTAAATTACAAATATCTCATCATCATGGATCATGGAATGTATTAATTTCTTTGCTACTTAAATTTTCTAATTATCCTGATATGACATAAAGTGATATACGCGGCAGATTCCGAATTATATTTAAATGATAAGTTATAACAAGTTCTTAACAAAGTTTGGAGAAGATTCTATCATGTATTAGGCTAAATCATCAAGCTCTCTTAACAACTATCTTAACACTTTTAATAGTAAACTAATTTTATCATGCATTTCAAACAATACTGCTCTCTAGTATTTATGGTATATTTGTTCAAAAATTAGTTAAACTTTGCCATGCTATATTTTTTAATGTTTGTTCACTTGCGATAAAAACGCGCACTATCTTAGAATTTTCCATAATATTATTGAAATTAATGAAATACACATGTGTAGAACTTCCATTTTGAAGAGAGAGAGAAAGAATAAAAAATTCACAAGTTACAATAAATAAATATATATAAATCTATTACGCTACATAAACATATAAAATTTATTTGAAAAAAACTTGATATATATATATAGAAAAATAATGTTAAAAAGCAAGATATTCCAATATATATACGAAACAATTTAACTTGAATATACTAAAGTTGAATAGATATGTTTTATACAGAGAAAAATTTGTTTTTATCGGCATAATATATCTGCAATATACACTTATGTGTATTTACATACCTTTTTACCTATATATATATTAAAATCAGAGGCTCTCTTTTCAATCTCTCTCGCATATTATCTTTCATAATATAGCGCATGAAGAGAATATTTTTATTATAAACCAAATGTGCTTTTTAATGAACAATCATTCTTAACAAATCCTTAATATGTCCAAATAACGATGCAATATGAATATCCTAGGCTTTGCAAAATTGCTCATATAAGCCGCTAAAAATAAGAATAACACAATATCTTAAAAATATGATCACATTATTTCAAATGTTTGTGAGTTAAAATACAACCAATACAGTGCATTTATGTATTATAAAGCAATTTTTTAACAATATTTTAAGTTGTCAATATTCAGATATATAAAATACAATCTAATGAATAATCCAATGAATTTGAAAGAATCAATTTCATTTACTAATATCAACTAATATTAATGACGAAATTTTTCTTTACTCAGAATCATTAATACATTGTTAGATAGAAAATAATAACTACATTTTATGTTACTAAATCAAGAAAGCAATTTTCTTGTGCCTAAATTTTATGTTATATATGCTTAGGAAACATATAAGACTATTAAAAGATTCTGAAATATGTAGATAATATTAATGCTATTACATTTCTAAATAATTTCACATAAGTACATGAAAGCAACAATATTATACAGATTATCTGTATTATTAGGATAGGGAAAGCTTCTTGCGCTCTTCCCTGTGTACTTCAGTCACTAATTGTTCAACTGTCAATTCTTATTTGATGTATATGATGACGCATCACTATCACTATTCTAGCTCTCCTATATTATATTTTATATATACATATCATTTAAATATTATTAGGAAATATCAACCGACAAACTTGAATGAACTGTCCATAACACAATAACATTCGTTATTCGAACACCGCGTGTCGGAAATCTTATCGTCTTAAATTGTCATGTCTTACAAAAAAAAGAAGCGGAAAAAATAATATAAATTATGTAAAAGATTTAATTGACAGAGCGTATCCTTAAATACTACTTTGGTTTAAATAGAAAAATATCATAGAAACACACAAACGCCTGCCACAATCGCTTCTCTCTGAAAATGCATAGTACCAATTACATCGATATCAGTTAACGTTAATAAATCAATCAAAATCTGTCGTCTCCACTTACGCTATGCGTAATATCCACAAGGAGACAATGAGTCACTAACCGGTAGACGATCCATTAGATTGTTGGTGCAAATCGGCTTCAATTGTAATTTTAACTATCAATCATAAATTAATAATGAAAACTGGACATATCCTTATAGAATCGGAGATATGCGAGAATTTATTGATAATTTTATTATTTTAAGGTCCGAATTATTTTTTTTAGAATGAAATTTTGTCGTCTGCTCGATAAATGGCATAAAGTGATATAGAAAGCAAGAGATGATATTTCGATAAAATAATAAAAATATATTCATAAAAAAGATAATGAATTTTGTAAGAAATTGGAAAGAACTTTCGTAAGCCTCTAGAAATTCATTGCTTTCGGATCATTCCTTGCTTTTATATTAGGCGCAATTCGATTTGCGCTTAATAAAAACTTGACAAAAAACTAATTTTATATATATATACACACACAACATGTACATTATATAATATATATAATGTACGTGAGAGATATATCAATACTTTAAGAAACATACCTTAAACGCATTTGTTTATAGTTTTCCTTTTAAAGACATAATAGCCAGCATTCCTG